AGGGAGCCCGATGCGGGACTCGATCCCGGGACTCCAGGATCATGACCTGAGCCGAAGGCAGTCGCTTAACCAACTGAGCCACCCAGGCGCCCTGGGGCACCGTCTCTTTGAACCAGGATTCACAGCCTCCCGGGGCGCTGGGCAGGAGCTGCGGGTAGGTGGGTGATTTCGGCGCCTCCTTTACCCTCTCTCGCCGGGTCTGCGCCTCCAGGTACAAAGGCTTCATCAAGGACTGCCCCAGCGGGCAGCTGGATGCTGCAGGCTTCCAGAAAATCTATAAGCAGTTCTTCCCATTTGGAGATCCTACCAAGTTCGCTACGTTTGTTTTCAACGTCTTTGACGAAAACAAGGTGAGCTGGGGGTTGGCGGGGCCCGCGCCCGGCCCAGAGTCCCCTCCCTCCCGCAGGCGCCCGCGGCATCTCCGCACCCACGCTCTCCTGCCAGCCTTCCCTTCTGGAGAAGGAACACACACATGCACAGACACTGATGCATACAAATGCGTGCCTGCGTCCGCACACAAACGTGCGTACACATATGCAATTCATGCACTTACACGTGCTGCACAGAGATGTGTATGCGTACGTATGTCTGTACATACAGGCATGCACACATTTGTATACCTTGCCCTTTCTCTTACAAGCACAGAATGCAAATGCCTGCAGGCACAATAACCCCGATTTAGAATCATCACTGACCTTACTGAACATTTACTGTGTGCTAAGCTTTTTACGTGGATTATTTTGAGTGAGGCTTTACAACCAACTACCTGTGGGGTATGGCCTTTTAATACTCCCATTTTGCAGATGGGGAAACTGAGGCTCTGAGCAGCATACAATATGGGATCTTTTGTGCCTGGCTCCTTTCACTGAGCATCATGTTTTCAAGGCTCATCTGTGTTGTTGCGTGTGTCCCCTCCTGGGGATGGCCGTGCTGACAGTTGGCAGATCCACTGTCAGGGGGCCCACAGTCCTTAGCACTCTGTCCCATGCCTGCATTTTTCCAGGCTTCCTCATGTTCACGGTGGATTTACTGTAAATTGTTTTCACGCTCTGTACTGTTGGGCGCTTGGAATGTTTCTGTGCTGTCACGCTCTGGCTTTCTCCCCAAGTGTCCTCAGGCTGACAGTCACACTGCCTAGCCCTGGGAAGAGCTCTGCCCTCTCCAGGCCTCAGTTTCCCTATTTGCAAAACGGACAGGTGGGGTTAAACAGTCTAGAGCCCTGCCCTCAAAAGCCTGGAAGCCTGTAGTTCTAGGCCAAGGGAAAAGGGGATCTCCAGGAGGCCCTTGCCCAGAGAGGGTGTGTGTAGTGTTGGTGGTAACTTCTGGCTCTTTCTCCCACCAGATGTGGAGTTGGGCTCTGCCTTTAGCCTCACTCCTTCTTCTGTCCCCCCTGCCTGGCCTGACCCATCTGTAATCCTACCCCCCACTCTGTCCCTTGTCCCCTCTCTCCCACCCTCTCCACTTGGCTGTCCGTCCATCAGCCATGGGCATCTGGTGCCTGCTGCCACCCATCACGCACCCAAGGCCCAGCCTGACCAGAGACCCGGTACTGACTGAGGCCACCCTGCCCCTCTCTCCTGTCAGGACGGGCGGATCGAGTTCTCTGAGTTCATCCAGGCGCTGTCGGTGACCTCAAGGGGAACCCTGGATGAGAAGCTTCGGTGTAAGTCCTGTCCCTGGGTTCTGTCAGGCAGCCCCTGGCTGGGCCCAGGCTGGAGGGAGCCCAGATAACCGGGCCAGGTTGTGGGTCCAGGGCTGAGAGATGACCCAGATGTCCGGCCTTTCCAGGTCACAGGAGCTTCCCTGGGGGTGGCCGTGTAGGAGGAACACGGCTTACCGGGGCAGGGTGGACAGATGGGGAGGTCAACGGGTGTAGACGTGGGCTATGGGTACTGTAGCCTTGCATTCTAAGACTCGGTTCCAGTGCTGCCTGCACCTCTTGGGAGGCCGCTGTTTTGATGTCTGGTCTCATCCATGCACTTACTCGTTCACTCAGCAGATATCCACGGGACACGGCCACAGTGCGCCCTGGCCCGGAGGCTGGGAAGCCGTGGGAGAATCAGATAGGCAGGTGCCCGCTGTCCTGGCTGTCAGTCTAGCACGGGGACAGGATTTTGAAAAATCCCATAAAACTGCAGCCGAGGCGGGAAGGGTGGGTGAGCAGACAGGAGGGCAACTGGCTCTGTGAAGGGTCAGGAGCTGGCCCTGCGGGAGGCGGGAACAGCATGTGCGAGGCCCTAGGGCGGAGTGGGCAGGGGCAAAAGGACGTCTGGAGAGAGGGTGGAAGCAGTTGAACCAGAATTCACTGCTCTCTTGGGCCTTTACGTTGCATTGCATTGGCAACAAGAAAACAGTGCAGTTTCTTTTTCTTTTTCTTTCTTTTTTTTTTGGAATAAAGGAGGATTTTGTTTATGTAAAAGCTACCCCCCCACCCCCATCCCGGGCATATTATTTTGTTTTCTTAGTTGACCATAGCAGGAAGCTCCGTGATTGTGGGAGAGGAGTGGGTGGAGAGGAGGCGGAGACTGGGGAGGGCGGGGGCGGGGGGAGGGAGGCCATTAGGGGTTCCTCCTGCCCTCCCCCCCCCACTCAACCCCAGCCCCTGCTCTACAGACCCAGAGACCTCTTCTTTTTACTTTTAGTTTCTTTTTTTTAAACCCCACTTGAAATGCTACCTGTGTCAATGTGTGTGTGTGTCTGTCTGTCTCTCTGTCCATCCCTGTTTGTCCTGATGTGAATCCTCTGGGGATGAGTAATGGGGCTCCCCCGCATGCTGGGGGGGGGGGTCGGAGGGGCGTGGCAGAGCCTGCCGGACCCCGCCCTGCGCTGGGGCTGACTCCGCCCCACTGCTTGATCACAGGGGCCTTCAAGCTCTACGATCTGGATAACGACGGCTACATCACCAGGAACGAGATGCTGGACATTGTGGACGCCATTTACCAGATGGTGGTGAGGCCTGGGCCCTATGGGGTAGGAGAGGCGGGGGGGCGTCACGTTTGGGGACAGGGCCTGGTCGGCCCCGAGGGAGCCCGCTCGCATAGCCGCTCTCCCGCCCGGGCTGAGAGTTGGCCAGGGGAGAGGTGGTCACTGCACATCTGCGAGGTGGGCAGCGGCTGTGGGGACAGAGTGTTCCAGAGCAGGAGGCAGAGAGGGCCGGGGTGGGGTGGGGAGCGGGAGGAAGAGCAGTCCGCATCTGGAACCCGCCCAGATCTGGGGGGCACGCTTTTGGCCAGGACCCCAAAGCCGGAGTGCCAGGAACCTAGCGCCCACCTTGTCTCTCTCTGGCAGGGGAACACCGTGGAGCTCCCCGAGGAGGAAAACACCCCGGAGAAGAGGGTGGACCGCATCTTCGCCATGATGGACAAGGTGAGCCCGGGTGAGGCTGGTACTTGACCAGGGAGGTAAGGCGTGGGGGCCAGGCCCTGGGCCCCAGTGGGTGGGCCGCGCAGACCCTCCGAGATGCATAGATGTTCAGTGCAGGTCAGCAGCCATCCCTATCAAATGTCCAGAGCTTTAAGTAAGTTTAGCCAACACTTCTTCTTTCCCCAGCTA